TCTCACCAAGTCCCCTGTCACCCCTAAGCCCCCTGTCACCCTCTACCTAAGTCCCCTGTCACTCCCTAAGTCCAATGTCACTCCCTAAGTCCCCTGTCACTCCCTAAGTCCCCTGTCACCCCTAAGTCCCCTCTCACCAAGTCCCCTGTCACCCCTACCTAAGCCCCTGTCACCCCTCACCCAGAGCCCCCTGTCACCATCACTAAGTTCCCTGTCACCCCTCACCAAGCCCCTGTCGCCCCCTCACCAAGCCCCTGTCGCCCCCTCACCAAGTCCCCTGTCGCCCCCTCACCAAGCCCACTGTCATCCTCTCACTAAGCCTGCTGTCACCCCCTCCCTTCCTGACTCTGCCCTCTGTCACCCCCTCACTCTGCCCCCTGTGAGCCCCTCCCTCACTGACAACTGTCACCCCCTCACTGTGGCCCTCACTCTGCCACCTGTCACCCCCTTTACCCTAATTCTGACACCTGTCACCACCTCCTTCCCTCACTCTGTCCCGTCACCCCCATCTTCCCTCACTCTGTCCCCTGTCACCCCTACCTTCCCTCACTCTGTCAACCCATCGCAAAGCCCCCTGTCACCCCCTCCTACCCTCACTCTGACCCCTGTCACTCTCTCCCTCTCTGACACTGCCACCTGTCAACCCCTCCCTCAGCCACCTGCCCACCCTTCACTCTGCCACCCCCTAACTCTGTCACCCCATCCCTCCCTCAGCGACCTGTCACCCCCTTTCACACTCTGTTAATCCCTTCCACACTCTGTCAGCCCCCTCCACTCTCTTTCACGTCATTTCACACTCTGTCATCCCCTCCACTCACACACACAGTCTCCTTTTTCGACACCATGTCACCTCCCTCCACACACCCTGTCACCATTCCCCACACACACACTGTCACCACAGACAAAATGCACAAAGGCCACAGTCCATATACAAAAAATACCGCAAGCAGCTACCACACACACATACGGTCCTAGACACAAACATACACATGCTCACAGAAACATACATTCACATACAAGGGTACTCACTGTCAGACGCACTCTCAGGCACATACACAAACAGACAATGCCAGACACATTCAGAAATAAACACAGCCAGATAAACACATTGTGACTGTATGTCTGTATTAGTCAATATGTGTGCATCAGTGTGTTTGTGTGTAAATGCATGTGCATGTATCAGTGTGTATATGTATTTGCGTATTAGTGTTTAAATGTGTGCGTGTGTCTGCAGTGTGGTTGTGGTATGATATGGGCAATGCAAAGATAAAGTTGCAAGCAACATATATATGCATACATACATACATACATACATATAAAATACATAGGGAAACACATATGTGATAATATACATGTTAAGGAATTTAGAATATGTGGGGAAATGTCAGGCTATACAACCATACCCAGCAATCGTATACAAATGATTAGCAATTTATGTCATATCTACAGTAAAAGTGCTCACAACGCAGCGGCATAGGGAGCTGCGGCAATTTTTTTCACTAATGGTGTAAATGGGGGGCCTCATGTTTGACTTTCGCCTAAGGCCTTGCAAAGTCTAGAGCCGCCTCTGTCTGGAAGCTATGTGGAAGAGTATTTGCTACCAATTGTACTATCATCAGGTATACACCAAGTGTCTGGCTTTTAAATGCATCTTATACCATTTTGCATTACAAATGCAAATTACATGAACATCTTAAATGTTCATACAATCACTTCAGCATTATAAACATTTTTCAAGGTATTGTATTCAATAAAAAAAATTTTAACACTATTTTGCCCACAATAGTTTTTCATAATGCTTATAGCAATGATTTTTACTGATTACATAGGGACATTGGAGCTCATTTTCACGTTTTTGTCATATATGTTTACACATGTATATAATATATATTGCTTTTTGTAATGTTTGTTTATACAATATACAATAAAATAACATATGTTGAATTCCAGGTAGAAGTTGATAAATAATTGACCATAAAATAAATAAAGACCATAAAAAAAAAGAAAACCAACCAAGTATTTGTTATTTATGTATTTATTTATATTTGCAGTGCAATTCAACCCCAGTATTTTTGTGATCATTTGCTTTTGCTAGTGGTATTAACTGTTTTATGCAATAACGTTAAAATATTTTTGTAGATTAGGTCGAATTTAAACTGGAACACAAAAAAACAAGAAGTTAAAAATAAAAATGCTTGGCATATGCCGTGCCCATCTACCCAGCTAGATCATTTCTTAGTGAATATAGTGAAAAAAATATTAATTATTAGGTGTTAGTTTATTTATGAAAATGTATTAACTCCTGTCTTGCCCATTTT